TACATAAGTAACAGGCATTTCATTGGCTCATCTTGGGGGCAGGGGTAGTTCCCACGGACTAAGTTTCCTGGTATTACTTTATGAAAGACCCAGGCATACTTCAGCAATTATTATCCTGGTCCCATGACTACTATGGTGATCATAGACACAACTGGGGGCAAGGGTAGTTGCCAAGGACTAGGTGTCCTGGTATTGTCATATGAAAGTTCCCAGCACACTTCAGCAATTATTATCCGGGTCTCATGATTGCTATAGTGATCAGACACAATTGGGGGCCAGGGTAGTTGCCAAGGACTAGGTTTTCTAGTATTGTCATATGAAAGTTCCCAGCACGCTTCAGCAATTATTATCCGGGTCCCATGACTGCTATAGTGATCACAGACATCCTGTTTTGAGAGTGAAACACCTGGTCTGGGTTTCTTTCATTAGGCAACGGCCTGGCCTTGCTTTTCTTTTCCTAGGGGGTCCTGGGTAGGGGTCTTTCATATGTATGTGGTGATGTGACAGTGACTAGCACTGTATGGATTTTATTTTACTTACATCTCAATTTGAGAGCCATACTTGTTTAGTCACTATCTGGTGAATTTTGTTTTCTAAATTCATATAAAATGTTTTTTTTTCTTTTACCCTTTTCTCTCTCCTCAACAAGAAAATCTGATAGACTAAATCTATTTTAAATGCTGGTATGATCTACAGCATAGCACAACAGTGGTGATATGTCTATGTTTCTTCAAAGATGAAGTTGGTTGCCACTGTCTCATGATACTCTTTCCTAAACAGTGAGCAGGAGAACTGGCAAGAGACTCATGTGGTCCTTTGACTTGATGGCTCCTGAAATTGTATTAACCTTGGAACAGCTGAACACATAGGAACAGAACTGCAGAGTTGTTGCACAAGTTTGTTCCCCAAGGTTGGACTCCAGGTTTGATCCTGTATTGATTTCATCTTGCCAAGCTTCTTCCCTTGCACTGGCCACTCAAAGACAAAGCATTCCTTATTTCTTTCTTTTGTTTTTTCAAGACAGGGTTTCTCTGTATTGTTTTGGAGGCTGTCCTGGAACTCATTCTGTAAAGCAGGATGGCCTTTTGAAGAACTTATGGACACAGAGCTGAGCAGACTAAATTCTTTTTCTTTATGTCTTTGGTGAGTACCTAGGTTGAGCAAAAACAGAATTTTCAGTTAGGACATAGAAGGTGAGTATACATTTCTAAATTTAGTCACATTAGCTTTTGTATCCTAGAATACTAGAACGTGAGGTAGGAGGTTGATAAATTGAGGTCAGCCAGTGTCAGACAGTGAGACCTTGAAACCCAGAGCAAAAGAACAGAAAAGAAGGGTGATATCTGCTTTAAGGATTTTTAGTCTAACAAAAGGCTCACTGCTTTGTTAAAGAAAAGAAAGAATACTTCATTCTAAAGATTGAACCCATTTAGTGTAGCTGGACTGTGTACGTAGACATTCTAGTATGTTCATAGAAGCATTATTTGTAATAGCCAGAAACTGGAAGCAACTTAGATGCCCCTCAACTGAAGAGTGGATAGAGAAAATGTGGTACATTTACACAATGGAGTACTATTCAGCAGAAAAAAAGAATGGAAACTTGAAATTTGCAGGCAAATGGGTGGCACTAGAAGAAACCATCCGGAGTGAGGTAACCCCATCACAGAGAGACAAACATGGTATATACTCACTCCTATATGGAGTTTAGGCATGGAACAGGGGATTGTCAACCTACAATCCCACTGACAAAAATTCTTCAAAACAGGAAGGAAACTAAGAGAGATATGTTTGGTACCCCTGAGAAGGAGAATGAGCTCAGATTTCCTGAGCAGATTGGGAGCATGGGGAGAGGGGAGAGGGAGCAGGGAAAAAGAGAGAGGTAAAAGAGGAGGGGAGAGAAAGACATGGGGGAGCAGGAAGGATGGGTCAGGGGAAGAATAGAGGAGAGCAGGATGAGAGATACCATAATAGAAGGAGTCATTATAGGTTTGAGGAGAGATCTGTCACTAGTGAGATTACCAGAGATCTACAAGGATGACACCAACTGGCAAATGAAGCGATAGTGGAGAGGCTACCTTAAATGCCCTTCCCTGATAATAAGTTTGGCAACTACCTTATATGACATCCTAGAACCTTCATCCATTGACTGACGAAAGCAGAGTCAGACATTCACAGCTAAGCCATGTGAACTCCTGGAACACAGTGACAGAGAGGGAGAAGTGATGAGCCAAGGGGTCAAGACCATGCTGGTGAAACCCCCAGAGACAGCTATCCTGAACAAGGGGGATCTCTTGGACCCCATACTGATGGCTGGGTGGCCAGCATGGGACTGATCCAGAAACGCTGAGTGTTGTCAGTGAGGAGGACTGGCCAATATATGGGACCTTGGATAGTAGATCAGTATTTATCACTGACATACAAATGTGTTTTGGGTGTTCCTCCCACAATGAGGGATGCTCTTTCAGCTTGGAGTCTTGGGGAAGGCCCTAGGCCATTTGCTGAACAAAATGACAGACTCTGGATAACTCCATGGAGGGCCTCATCCTCCCTGGGAAATGGAGTGGGAATTGAGTGGTGGCATAGGGGAAGATGGAAGGCGGGAGAGGAGGGAAGGAAGAGGGGGAGGGGGTTGTTATTGACAGTTGAAGCAAACTTGTTGCTAATTTAAATAATAAAAATATAAATTACTACATGAACAAAAAAACAGATGTAAACTCAAGAGTAGAGTGCCATTTGATTTCCAAAGACAACTGGAAGCTGGTGGCCACATTGGTGTAATGGTTGGGCTATGATCCTGGTAACACTAAACCACCTTTTTCAAATATATCTTCATATGTACTGTATTCTCTGTTTCAATACAAAAATAAGTCTTATAAAGAGAGATAAAAAATCACTGTAAATGGAAAGGTAAAAGACAATTTTGTTCTTAGTACAAAAGAGAATATGTTTGAGTCAATCTATTAAATCATATACAAAGCATTAATTCTTAGGAGTAGCTAACTAGAAGAAATAGAAACTGCAGATACATGAAATTATAGATAGAAAACTCTGATTTATCAGGGATTTAATTGATGGCCTGATTTAGCAGTTGTATCTATCTTACCCCGTATAAGCTTCAGGATAATTCTCTACGTATTCATTTGCAGAGACGGGTTTCCCATTTACTTTCAGCTCTATATAGAAGTCCCTCAGAGCTCACACTAAGTACAGGAAGAAGCTCTCAAACTCATCTGAATCCTCCACTTCATCTTGGTCAGTTGAGGACCTTGATCAAATTCTGTCTGTCACATAGCTTAGCACCTAATTAAGGAAATCCCCAGAAACAATCATAGCTCCAACCAAAACTTCAAGGTTCTACATAATTCCACATCTTCCTGGAACGTATGTCATAACCTTTATTTGTTTTGTTCCTAATATCAGTTTAAACACTATAGATACAAATATGTATGGATTTTTTTGACACAGGTTTTCTCTGTATTGTTTTGGAGGCTGCCCTGGAACTCACTCTGTAGACCAGGCTGGCCTCAAACTCACAAAGATCTGCCTGCCTCTGCCTCCCAAGTGCTGGGATTAAAGGCATGCGCCACCAACGCCCGGCCATATGTGTGGATTTTTTAAAAATATATTTTACCAAGAGCCAGATTCATGGAGCTGGTTCATGAGGGTAGGTTACTGTGCTCGCTCTGGTCCTGCCATGACCCTCAGAAGGGATATTGCAGTTGGTCCAGGGCCTGCTGGTTGATGGGTCCCATGCTGTTGTACACAAAGTTGCTTCTTAGAAATATAACCAGGGCAAAGATCCAGCAGTTATTCTGATTGTCACCCTGGAAGTCAGAACACACATGGGTCAGGAATTTGACTTTTTCTTATGTCACTTTCAGATTTGCAGTGGTAAAAATATACTCAATTACAAGTGATTTTACCTGGGTGGTCGTGGCACACACCTTTAATCCTAGCACTCGGGAGGCAGAGGCAGGTGGATCTCTGTGAGTTTGAGACCGGGCTGGACCGACAGCCTCCTAAACAATACAGAGAAACCCTGTCTCGTAAAAACAAAAACAAAACAAAACAAAACAAGTGATTTTAGCCTAAAAATAAAACAAAACACGTTTGTGACATCTGCAAGTTGCAAAACAAAACAAAACGAATCAGTAATGAGACTAATGCAACCTAGAAAACTCGAAAGCCTGGACTCAAACGGGTGTCTCTGTAAGGATCTTCATGCCAGTATCATCAGAGTATTCATCTGCATTATCTACAGGTGAGTGGATAAGCCGATAATCGAAACACTTTTCTCTCAGTGACAAACCTCAAAGGTGTCATATTAAATTAAAGAAACAATCATAAAACCCTTATATTTAACAATTCTACTTATATAACATTACAAGTACAGCCAAATCCATAGATATAGCATGTAGAGTAGTGATACAGGTGGCAATGATCTAGTTCTAGAGATTGATGGTGGAGATTTATAGAAGCACAATTTTGTTTAATGCTACAGGACTGAATACTTAAAAAATCATAGAGATAAATCTTATATAACTGAAAATAATAAAAAGTCAATACATATCATATAGAGCCTTTTTAACCTTAAAGATCAGTAGAATCTTGCTGCTATTACATGACTGTTTTAGCAATACCTTAAACTTTATTAACATATAAATTAAATTATCTTTATTTCTGCCTTTCTCCATCTAGAAAATGAATAATTTGTGCTTTTAGAAGGGAAGCTAGGAGTGAGATGTGGTGATGAAGTCCTGTAATCAGCACTTAGGTGGCCTAGGCAATTATGTGTTCAGGGTCAGTATAGACTACATGCTGATCTAAACCCTGCTTGAGTTATACAGCATGGCCTTATCTCAAAAATAAAAGCAAACAGACAATGGAACAACAACAAAAAGGATCCTAACATCTGTGAGTGAAAGGTTAAATGATTCACTCTCTCATTCAGGAAGAAGAGCACTCTTGGGACCCAGCACAGCTGTGTTGGTGGCACTCACCTGTTTTCTTCCCGGCCAGCTTGTTCATCAAGTAGGATTTGCCTATGTGGTAGAGGCCCATGATGGCCACCACTACCACAGGCTGCGTGAAGTCAGACAGGATTCTCAGAGCCTCCTGGTTGGCTATCAGTTGACCTTCTACATTCTCATTAAGGTATATGGGGCCTGGCAAGTGGGCCTCTGTGGCTATTGTGCCGACTTGTCCCCTGTCTCTAGAGGGACAGATGAGATTAAATAGAATCTTATTCTTTCTCTCAGAAGGTAGAGTTATGAAACTCACAAAAATCATGGCACTGCTGTGCATCAGACACATAGTTGAAAGAAACTGTATAATTTTAGAATTGTAAAAGATATGATTGAAGAATTTAATTCTTTTTTTAGAATTTAATTTATAATGTGACAGTGACAATATTATACTGCTCATAACACATGCATTCTGTTTAATTTTCAATGAAAAATTTCCTTATTAATTGTTTTGTATTAAACATCAAATGGAAAATAAAATCAGATTTAGAAAAATTATCTTATATTGCAGCTTACATATTTAATCAAATATTTATTTATTCATTAGTTTACCATTATAATTAATAGAGACCTACAGACTTAATGCTTCATTTTTTTGATTCATGCCATTACAAGGATTTCTAGATATTATGAAATATATTCATTTAATGTACCTGAATAGCTATACCAATGTTGTGCACAAAATTTCTATAGATTATAAAATGTATCCCTTCTGTAATCCTAGTAGTTATTCTCATGTAGTAAATAGTCTGGATCTATAGAATTAATCACATTGTCATCCCACCAAGAGAACTATAATAATTTTTTTGCAAACTTTGTGGAAGTGTGTTAGAGCATTTCTTCCAAAGAAAGGGCTTCACAAGAGCAGTGCCTTGAAAACTAAGCTTCATTACCTATGAATGAGCAATAAAGAAAATCTGTGTTTAGGCTCACAAGAAACAAGACTAAACGCAACTATGCAAATACTGGATATTGCACAAAGCAACAGTGATGTTAATAGCAACAAATCAGGGAGCTGGTGGTTTAAATAATGACTTTGTGCCATCCTCCTTAAGTTTTCTATATAGTTTTCATATATAGGAGTCATAGGCTAGGATCTGACCAGGCAGAACCAAAATGTGTTGAATAAAAAATGGTTTCTGGAACGGTGTTGTGCTCTCTAGAAAACAGGAAAAATTGCCTGAGAGTAATCAGACTTTGTCCTTAGTCTTGTGAGCCCAGGGCTATTCTAATGTAGTCCTATGTTATAGTATAGGGTATGACCTTCAGGGGAGAGTTAAGGAGTCGTGGACATGAGGCATGAGACAATTTTATGATGAAAGAAGGAAATTCACTTGGCATCCAAGAGCAGTGAGTGTGGTGACTACCTAACCTTCATCTTTCACTCTGCATTTTAGCTGTGAACTGAGTTTCCCAGAAAATAGCACAATTGTGTCAATGAACCCACAAGGCTGACTGACTAATCAGAATTAGTGTGTGATTGTGTAATGTCTGGAGCCAGAATTTCTTAGACCTTTACCTAACAATGTCCTCTGTGCTTCTGTTTCCTTTCCTGGAGAGATATCCTTTCATCCTCAAGTTTTTTGATCTCCTGCTGAAACCCCTCTTTTAGTAGTGTGGCTTGTTCCAAAAAGTGACAAGTTGAAACAATCAATTGTTGTACTGAGTAGATTCCAGAGTCCTTTGCAGTTTCTGTAATAACTAATTTTTATTATTTAATTAAAATTTTTCTCAACCCTTAATTTTTATACATATTTATCCTGTTCTTATTCATGTGCAAAATTTAATATTCAAAGAATTTTTTTCCTATTTGAATTTTTCATTCCCCTCCCCAAATTATACATTTCTTGAGCAGCTGTCATCATGTCTTTAACTAGGAAACAATTCCAGCAATGGGCAAAGAGACATCTTGTTGATGGTGGTGTTTTTATATCAGTCAGGGGCAGGGCAGATAGCAGTCTTTTGTTCATTCTAGCTTGATGCCTGGCTTTGTGGCCAAAGCTATTAATGCCTAGGGCAGATTAAATAACAACAATTCTAGTTAGGAACCTATGTCATCAGTATTGATTTCTGCCTTATCAATGGTCTATATCCTCTGTAGACAATCTTAATCATTTCTGACTTCAAATTTTAGCATATAAACATGCACCACAGTGATGAATTCTGAAAATCTGACCTAAGGCTCTGAAACTCAGTCTGAGAAACTTAGTGGGGAGGGCATAGCTGAGTCAGGAACATGCCTTCTACCTAAATGTGAGGACCTGAGCTGGACTCTTAAGCATGCATATAAAAGCTAGATGCATCACTGTGTGTAATAACAGGCTGGGAGGCAGATATAGGCAGATTTTTGAAACTAGTAGGTCAGCCAGGATAGACCATCAGTGATCTCTGGGTTCAACGAGAGACCCTGTCTCAAAAAATATGGTGGAGAGTGATGGGGGAAGATTTGAACCTCTGTGGCCTTTGCAGCAACATACATGAGCATGCACAAATATAGAAAGGAACTGACACAGAAAGTGGAGAAGAAACCTGGTGTGAGCTTCCAGCACTTGGTAGCAGGTGACAGGTGATAGGAATAAGAACCAGAGTCCCAGACTGAAGATAATGAATTTCCTTATCTAACTCCTGACTGAACACAAATTGAGATCAAAGTACCGGAAAGAGGAGGGAGAGACAGGCTGTCACAAACTTGTAAGGGTTAAATCATCTCTTTCACCATAAACACTCTCTAAGGACTAAGCTCATACCAGGTAAGATGGAAAAACACTACCTTTGTGGATCCCACTATGAGAAAGAGCTGAGATATTTTTACAGTTGCAAACTGTGTACAGACTGGGATTCAATTCTTAACATCCAAGTCAGGTGGCTCACAAACATTCAGAGCTCCACCTCCAGGGATCCAGCATCTACAGATACCACATACATCATACATACAAGCAAATACACACACACACACACACACACACACACACACTTTGAAATATGTTTAAGTGAAGAAGACATAGATGGTGATGCAGTTAGTACACTTGAACTACGTGCTCAATGATCCTCTGTTGCTCCTCCATATCTTCCTTCTCCTTCTTCCCAGTCAACTGTTTCACATGCTCCTAGTACCAATTCTCTTTCATCAACTTATCATTCCTCTGTTGCATTTCCTCCAGTAGTTTTGCTGCAGCCTGTGCAGCTTCAGCGTTCACATGCTCCACTGGGAAGGAAAAGCAAGAAGGAAGCTGTAAATGCATCATGTGTTGCTCTTTTCTTTCTCACCTGCTTCATTGTTACTGCTGATGACAGCACTACCCACATCTAATACAAGCTAGTAGGACACAGCTTTGTTCTTTTAGCTCTGGTTTAGGGTCCCAGGTTTATTAGTAATTTACCCATTCCACAGCTTTCTAGGGAAGGAAGTTCCTTAACCTGTACCTCACCTTCAATCTCCTTTTCCTTTTTGTCAGAGCCTGGTCTGTCTGTAGAATTGCATCAGTCAATTCCTCCTTGGACTGCAAAAACTTCAGCAGTGTCTTCAGCCTTTAAGTCTGGAGAACATGAAGTTAACAGCAGGGATGACTGAATGCTGCGGGACTATCTCACTTCCCCTCTTTCCTCTAGTGACACCTCTTGGTGCTAAGAGTCCCAGTAACAGAAACAGGCACAGTCCAGGCTGGACCTCACTCAACAGTATCTATTATTGGAGGCCTGTGTTAGAAAACAAAGGCTGTCCTTTTATATTAGGGCTTAACTTTGGAGTTAGTGGTGCTATGGTCATAGATGGCGAAAGTTTGATGATGACATAAGCCCTTATGAGGAACAAAGAGATCAGAGGAAATGCGAAAGATAGAAAAGAATGTGGCTGGGGAAGAGTAAAGGACAGATGGACACAAGATAATACTATCACACCAAATTTTCTTTTAAGTCAATTTCAAGGCCAAACTGATAAATTACAAGTTTTGTTTAAGGAACTATCATTTGGTCCTTTGCAACACAAAGAATCTAGCTGACATAGATGGTGACAGTCATACTATGGTTAATGATTGTTCAGTGTGAACTCAATTGTTAAGGGAGTACACTGTTTCTGATGAGTATGCAGGACATATCTAGTGTGATAACCTTCAGGAATGTGACGTTGAAGGCGCATGTGCAAATCACAAGACACTCTGGAAATGATGCTTGTGACCACTCTGCTGTCTAAAGGAGGTCAGCAGCTTCCCAGAAGACACACATAACCTTGGGTGCCTGAACCCCCTCCTTGGGTTCCTCATAATACTCTTTCTTCAAATCCTGTTTCTTCTGGATAAAAGATGATATCCTCCTGGTTTAGAATAAATCCCTTGCTTCACTTCTTCTTTTAGTGAACTGAAAATATACTGAAGCAGAGCTGAGTAGCCATCTGAAGATATCTGTAGATTCTGCTTATAGAATTCTTGCTTTGTTTCCAACTTGGTCTTTGATGTAAAAATGAAAGGAAAAATGTTAAGAATAAAAGAAGCCTGAGTTTAGAATTTCTCTGCACATTTCCCAAAACAAAGCAAACTCAAAATCAAAATGGACAAAGGAAAACTTATAATCACTGATTATAACCATGTACATCTCTCTGATACCAGCTTTTAATGTCATCTTTGCTCTTTGGCAGTGAATTTCAGAACAGAATAATCTGCTTTTTCACACTGGACCAAAGCTAACACATGGAATAAACATGGCTCAATATTAATTTGCCTCTGATATCTAAAGCTATAATTTTCTAATCTATTGGCTTGAATATTGGATCAGTCTGCAGAGAGTGGGGAATTCAACTTGATCAGACACACTATTTCTCTGTACTTAATTCTGTGACGGAGAATATTACTAACCCATTCATAAAATGAGAAATGTTTAAATCTTTGAGTCTATGATAATTCATTTTTAGTATTTATTGTAATTATTAATAGGTATGTGTTTCTACTTCAAAATCTAGTAATTGTTGCCCCCTCAAACACCTTTTTCATTTTCCCATAATAATTTGCCTTCAACAATCTATATCCAGTCAAACTTAAAGAGAAATATTACCACTAATTCCTTTTGGAACACTTGATCAATATCTTTGAAGGAATTTTCCATGAAGATCTTGATGGTGTCTTTCTCACTGGCCATGGGGAATACCAGAAGCTCCTGGAGGGTCTCTGTGGGCAGGTGCAACTTCTGGCTCACCTCCTGGTCATAGTGGGCAATGGCCTTTTGCACTGCAGCTGTATTCTCTGTCTATGTCAAAACCAGGACAGCATTCTCCATGCAGGGCAGACCCCCACTGTTGACGGTATTCATATATGTTACCACCAAACTCTTTAGTCCTACAGCCATGTGACAATATTTGTAACAAATGGATGACAGAATGAGTTTGTCTAATTCTGCATTTGTCAATCATAGATGCCTTAAAGAATCAGCGTCCTTAGCATTATTTGGAGGAATGAGAGACAGAACTAGATCAGTGTCTACTTCACATTGATGGAATTGGAACTTCCTCTGTGCAAAGATCCTCTCATGATGTGTGAGACCCAAAAGTCTAGGAATGCTGGGTGGAACTTACATGAGCTTGTGTCTGTGGAAAGTTTGTGTCCATTTCAAGGCAAGCACTATGAGAACAGGCTCCATATTGCTGTCATGTTTGTCTGTGTCACCGGGACTATGAGCATTTAATTCAAAACCCAATCAGAAATTCTCCATTGGGTTGAATAAAAAATATAGCATCGCCCATGAGACTTCTTTGTATGTGCTAATATGGCATAGATAGCCCCATGTAGATTTTACTGTGTTTTCATTTGAATTTTAAAAGCTATCCTTGTTTAGTGACTATCATTGGTGAATGCAGGTCCAGTTTCCAAGTGCAATTGAAATTTTTTTCTTTTGCTCCTTGTTATCTTCCCAACAAGAAAATGTGATAAACAAATCTATTAAAAACTCTGGTACCGGCCGGGCGTTGGTGGTGCACGCCTTTAATCCCAGCACTCGGGAGGCAGAGGCAGGCAGATCTCTGTAAGTTCGAGGCCAGGCTGGACCGACAGCCTCCAAAACAGAGAAACTCTGTCTCGTAAAACCAAAAAAAAAAAAAACACTCTGGTACCATCTACATTTTAGCACTGTAGTGGTGATGGGTCTATATTTCTTCAAAGCTGAAATTTGTCATTAGTATTTCATGATTCTCTTTCCTAAACAGTGAGCAGGATAGCTAGGAAGGGATTCGCATGATCCATTGACCTTGATGCCTCCTGAAAGTGTTTTAACCTTGGAACAGCTGAACATATAGGAACAGAAATCTGCCACTTGTCCCATGAATTAGGAGTTCATGTTTTGATCCCACAGCAATTGCACCTGGCCAAGATTCTTCCTATGCACTGGCCACTCAAAGACAATGCATTTCTTCTTTGGGAAGAACTTAATAGATACAGAGTCAAGGGAGAATAAACTTTTGTTCTTTTTCTTTTTGAACAGTACCTACATGGAGCAAAAAACAAGGGTTTTTAGACCGGACTTGAAAGGTGGTTATATATATTTTTAATTGGGTCATGTGAGCTTGTAATTCAGACATCCTGGAAGCTGAGGCAATGGGATTATAAATTCAGGACAGTGTGGGTCACAAATCAAGAACAGAAAGGGCATGTTGTCTGTTTTTAAGTATTTCAAGTCTAGGAATGGTTGAATATTATGTTAGGCTCCTCAGGAATCATTCAAGTGTTCAGCACACTTATTATAAATATCTGGACTTTGTGCATAGACAGAGTAAACCCTGATTACAGCATCATCTTACATTCAAACGTGTGGCAGCACATCCATTGTGTGGGGGCCATGCTATTCCAACAGTAGAGTAGGATACTGGAAATACTTTAATCTACACTTTAAAACATATGTTCATTGTTCAGTTTATTCTGTATTCTGGCATAGAAACAAGTCTGAGGCAGGGGAGAGGAATTGAAGGTAAATGGAAAAGTAGAAGACAAATGATTTATTCCTAGAACAAAGCAAAAAGTGTTTAACTCAATCTATTAAATCATAT